TCTAAGATAAAGGCATTGGCTGAGCTTGTTGTCATGTGGAGCTCAGGATCCTCTTAGTGCATTGGCAGAGTTTAGTTTCCTACAGGACTGTAGGACTGAGGTCCCATTTTGTGCTGACTCGGCCTTCCATGCGGCCACTCCACAGGCCTCTCACAACATGGTGGTTTGCTGCGTCTTCTTCCAGGACAGCCCATGTGTTCTAAGGTCAGGCCCACCAGGATCATCTCCCTTTTGACTAATTCAAAGCCAACTGATTAGTAGCCTAATCAGAGGAGTGACAGCCCATCACATTCACAGGTTCTGCCCACCCTCAAGGAGAGGGGACTATCAAGAGCATGAACCACAGGGGAGACTTCTGCCTGCATAAGCTCATAATTGTTAAAGAGAAGAGAGGAGCATGGCTGGCCCTCTGAAATTCTGAAAAGTACTCCAGTTACAGTTTTTGTGTAATAGTGGGTAATTTATAAATTTATAAAGCAGGGTTATAATTTTGTCATTCCACACATTTTCATCTTTCCTAAATGCATATAATTCAGGTAATATATAATCTGACACAGTACCAAGGGGATGGTGCTGAACAATTCATGAGAAACCAGGCCCCACCTCCAGCACTGCAGATTGCAATTCAACATGGATTTGGGCAGGGCCACACATCCCAACCATATAAATAACATTTACTGAGTGCTTAGTTAGTGCTAAACACCATGCTGGATACTTTACATAATTATTCATTTAACCTTCACAGTTGCTCTACAGGGCGGTTCCCGTTTTTATAGAAGAGGAAATGGAACTACAATGTAGTAAAACAAATTGCCCAAATTCACAAAGCACTGAGAGGCCATTGGGGTTATGGACTCAGGCACTTGGACTCTACTGCCAGTGTTAGGCCCGTTCGAGATTCTGCCACTTGTGTAATTATCTTGCTGTGTTGGCACTGTAGGCGGGCTTTGTGCAGTATGGTACATACAGACATTATGCAAATATAACACTGTACACGTGACTGCAAAACCTAAAGAGGATGGGGCAGGAAGGTGGTTGCCTTTTATTTTTTTTTTAAGAGATGGGGTCTCACTCTGTCGTCCAGGCTGGAGTGCAGCCTCAACCTCAATCTTGACTCACTGCAGCCTCAATCTCTTGGGTTGATCCTCTGGCCTCATCCTGAGTAGCTGGAACTACAGGCACATCTCACCACACCAGGCTAATTGAAAAAAAAAAGTTATTAGTGGAGACTGGTCTTACTATGTCACCTAGGCTGGTCTTGAACTCTTGAGCTCAAGCAATCCTCCCACCTCAGCTTCCCAAAGTGATGGGATTACAAGCTTGAGCCACCTTACCCAGAGGTGGTTGACTTTTGTAACAAAGTTGCTTATTGGCCGGGCGTGGTGGCTCACGCCTGTAATCCTAGCACTTTGGGAGGCTGAGGTGGGTGGATCACCTGAGGTCAGGAGTTCAAAACCAGCCTGGCCATCATGGTGAAACCCCATCTTAAAAAAAAAAAGTTGCTGATTGTGAAAAAAAATAAATGGCTTTTGGCCAGCCACAATCCCAGCACTTTGGAAAGCTGAGGTGGGAGGATTGAGACCAGCTCAGGCAACAAAGTGAGACACTGTCTACAAAAAAATCAGAAATTAAGAAAAAATAGTTTTGGCTGGGCGTGGTGCTCACGACTGTAATCCCAGCACTTTGGGAGGCCAAGGCAGGTAGGTGGCTCACTCAAGGTCAGGAGTTTAAGACCAGCCTGGCTAACATGGCAGAAACCCTGTCTCTAGGAAAAACAGAAAAATTAGTCACTCCTGCCTCACTCAGCCTCCCGAGTAGCTGGGATTACAGGCATGTGCTACCACGCCCAGCTAATTTTTGTATTTTTGGTAGAGACAAGGTTTCACCATGTTGGTCGGGCTAGTCTCAAACTCTTGACCTCAGGGAATTCGCCTACTGCCGCCTTCCAAAGTGCTGGGATTACAGATGTGAGCTACCGCGCCCGGCCCCAGATAGTATTTTATTTAATTTTCTATTGCTAGCATTCTGTCAGTTCCCAGGTCATCAGATGAACTCCATATGTCACCTATGGAATAAATAAAAATGATGGAAGAAATATTATAAGACAGAATGAAACTGATTGGGAAATGAGCTATACAGAAAACCATTGTTTTAGGTCCTTCTGTAGCCATAAATCCATTTATTCTGCAAGTATGGTGGAGCACAGTGAAAAAGAAGATAGCATCGCAAAGCTCTGTGGATGCGGTGCATTTGGGAAACTAGGTTGTTCTGTTTGGCAATGAGAAAGTACCGTAAAAGTAGGGGTGACGTGAGTTTCACAGTTTAGATGGCGCCATCTGCTGGAGTGGGGAAAAGGGGCCGACTTCAGGTATAATTCGGAGGTCCTCTCGCGGGAGCTTGTGACTGCAGGTGAAAGCTCAGGAAGCGGACCTGAAGAGCCAGGCCTGGGGCATCCGGATACGTAGTGTGTGTGATATTTGCAGATCCTGTGCCTGGCAGTTTTATCCTTCACATTCAACCTCTAGTTCAACAAACAGTAGGAAGCCCTTCTAGCATCACCCTTTCCTCAGCTGATGTAGTGTGGCCACCTGGTTAGGAAGGTGGGCTTTAGCATCAGCCTGTCCAGCTGCCTTTCTGAGTGACCGTGGGCAAGCTGCCTAGCCTTTCTGGGCTGCAATCTTCTCCTACACTATGGCATGAGAATTAAGCAAATCACCAAATGGCTAGCACTGAGTTTTGTGCCTTGCTTGGACCAGTCACTAAACAAATGATAGCTGTCACAGACATCACCTTTCCGGCCTTTTCTCTCTCTCTCTCTTTTTTTTTTTTTGAGACAGAGCTTCACTCTTGTTGTCCAGGCTGGAGTGCAGTGCAATGGCGCAATCTTGGCTCACTGCAACCTCCACCTCCCACGTTCAAGCGATTCTCCTGCCTCAGCCTCCCAAGTAGCTGGGATTACAGGCATGCACCACCACACCTGGCTAGTTCTGTATTTTTAGTAGAGACAGGGTTTTGCCATGTTGGCCAGGCTGGTCACAAACTCCTGACCTCAAATGATCCACCCATCTTGGTCTCCCAAAGTGCTGGGATTACAGGTGTGAGCTACCACACCCGGCCAAGATTGGCATTTATGTTTAAGCTGTAAATTACCAACCAAAACATGATAGAGGCTTATCTCAGTAGATTTAGAGGTTTATTTTGCTGAGGTTGAAGACATGCCAGGGAAAAAGAGACTCAAGTTACAGTAGGATCTGTGTCTTCTGCTTTTTCCAAAGAGGGTTTTGGGAACTTTAAAAGGGAATGTGCACACAGGAGGGGAAGAAAAAAGGAAACAAAAAGGAAAGAGGGTAGGCAGGGAGGCAGTGGTTACATTCCTGTGAGGCACCAGACAGTGTGAATCCACGTTTTTTATGTGGAAAGAAAGGAGTGGAGGGAAAGTCAATCATGCATTCTTCTCCAGCTCAGTGGATCTATATTTTATATTAAATAAAGCAAGCATGTGAATTACAGCTATCAGTTTGGGAACAAAAGGAAGGCGCTCTCTCTCTCTCTCTCTCCTCTCTCTCTCTCTGTCTCTCTCTTTGGTTCTTCTTTCATCTTGCAGGAAGTTTTTGTCTGACTCAGTTCCCAAGCTTAACTTTCTTCTTTGCATGGTGAGTTTGGGGTCATGAAATTTTCCTTTCACAAAGTAAAATAAACTTGAGATGTGGAATGCTTGTCTTAATGTTTCTTTTCTCTCCTTTCTTGTGTTTATTAACCAAAATGAGCGACTAAGGCAAGAATCTCAATCACTCTGGTTTACTAAGCCAGAACTGGAGGGCATCTTTGGGAAAAATGTGGGTCACAGATGCCTATGTGGCTATTGCCCCTTAAGGAGGTTTTTGGGTGGCCTCATGTTTATACATTTCCTTAAGTGGGGAGAGCACATGGGAATTGGGGTGGGTGAGTGATAAGGAGAAAGGTCATGTTCTTGTGAGACTTCATTTAGTGCTAGTAAATCTACATTTTACATAAGGTAAGGTGAAAGTTTGAAGAAAAAAATGGAGTAAAGGAAGAATAAATTATGTGACCCTCTCTGGGGAGGTGGAGGAACAATTGCTCTCATTCTTTGTTCTGCATCTGGGAAGATCAGCCTGTGTAAACAAAAAATAAACTTCCAAGGCCCCCCCAACCATCTGATGGACCTCTCCTCTCAGCCAGAGGCATTCCAAAGTTCACCTGAATAAATCTCCCTTTATTTTCTTTTCTGCTAGGTTTAAATCTGCAGTTACTTTTCTTCTGAGATAAAAATCATTGTTTGGATCCAACTGTATTGTTGTTGTATTACAAACCAGTAAGTTTGTATTGACACTCCCTGAGCATGCATTAAACTATAAACTATGTTTCTCCCAAACTTAGTTCAGCCTACAGCGAGGAATGAACAAGGACAGCATGGAGGTTAGAAGCAAGATGCAGTGGGTTAAGTTAGGTCTTTCACTGTCTCTGTCATAATTTTGCAAAGGCGGTTTCAGGCTTTCGGCGTAACTTTCCCTTTGGCCGAAGGAGTTCAGGGGTCCTGAAAGGTCTTGATTTTCCCTTAGGTGTTCCCTTAGTCTTTTATAGTCTCTCAACGTTGATTCCTGCCTACCTTACTGCTTGTTTTCATCAAAAGACGACATATGGGTATATAAGTGCAAACCCTTATTCAAATGTAAAGCTCTTTTCAAGATCTCTCCCTTTTATCTTCCCTAACTCTCGGTCCGGTTCCGCGGGAACCAGAGGGCGGGTTGGGGCGAGACGAGAGCCCCAGCACCCCAACCAGGGCACTGCACCTGCTCCTTGCGGAGATCAGCGGCCGCTCGGTCTTCTGCTGCGCCTGCCTGGCGGTTGCTAGGAGCCGGGGAAGCGCATGCGCATTGGGAGAGGCTGCCGGCACGCCGAGCAGCGACCACTCGGCCCTCCCCTGCTCCTGCCTGCTAGGTGCTGAAATGCCGAGGAGGCGCAGGCGCACTGGGAACGGCCGCAGGGCACGCTGGGCAGCGCCGCTCGGCCCTCTGCTGCTCCTGCCTGCCGGTTGCTAGGAGCTGGGACGCGCCTCCCGAAGAGTGCAGGGCCGCAGGTTGCCTCCTCCGGGTGGGCCGCGCTGGGCCTGTGCCGAAGACCCCGCGGCTGCCCAGGCCTGTGAGGAGCGATGGAGCCCGGGAAGGTCGGTGCGTCGCGGGGCTTCGGCACGGGGTGGTCGAGCTTCGCGGACTCATCCGGGTGCTGCGAGCAGGGCCGCCGCCGCCCTCTCTCTGTACGGCGGTTCTCTCGGCCGGGCCGGGGCTTCGTGGAGGAGCTGCGGTGCTTCTGAGGCAGGAAGGGAAACGGAGGCGCGGCTGGCCGTGGGCGCGAGGGCGGGCAGGACGCCGGGCTCCTGGCGGTCGGGAAGCAGGGTCCGTGCAGCCTCAGCCCTGCAGTCGCCGCCGCGGTCCGTCTCCTCGCCGGCCTGGGGGCGGCCTCGGCCAATGCTGCGGGGCCGGGGTGGCCGAGGAGTCACGTTTAAAATTTTATTCAGTTTTGTCTGATTTAAGTTTAAATATGACTTCTCACAGTTTAAGAGGCTGAGCGAGTGCAGCCTAAGTTCTTGAGTTGGAATTCTGGCTTTTGTATTTACTTGTATGACCTTGGCAAAATCACTTAACCTGTCCTATTTCCTTTTTTTTTTTTTCCCACCCTAACCCTATTATTTCCTAATTCATACAGTGGGCGCAATAATAATAGCAACCTCACAGGGTGTTTAAGAAGATTGAGATATTATGTATGAAAGTGCATAGAACAGTGCCTGCCTTCATTAACACTCAGTACATGTTAGATATTACTGTAAGATTCTTGTTATCGATTCCTCACTAAAAAATGAAGCATTTAGTGTGCATACATTTTCTTCTACCTTCGCTCCTATTTTTCCCCGTCACTTACCTTTATATGCTGAATAATATTTCTCAATTTGTATTTTATATCAACCTTGGTTTTTTCTTTCTTTTCTTTCTTTCTTTCTAAGATAGTTTCCCTCTGTCGCCCAGGCTGGAGTGCACTGGCTCTATCTCGGCTCACTGCAACCTCCAACTCCCGGGTTCAAGCGATTCTCCTGCCTCAGTCTCCCTTGTAGCTGGGATTACAGGCACACGCCACCACGCCTGGTTAATTTTTGTATTTTTAGTAGGTACAGGGTTTCACCATGTTGGCCAGGGTGGTCTCCAGCTCCTGACCTAAGGTCATCTCCCCGCCTCGGCCTCTCAACATGGTGGGATTACAGGCGTGAGCCACCTGGTCAACCTCAGATAGTATTTTTTAACTTTCCCCTAATTAAGATTAGGAAGCTACTGCCCTACACTACTCATTTCGCCGTAAACCCACGAATTTCCTGACCCTGTCATCCTCCATGCTATTCTCCTTACATTTCTTTAAGTTACTCTGTAACTTACATTGTTGATGATTTGTTTATAGGCTGATTTTTAAAATGGTTATATAAGTTTTCATTGCAGAACCAAATAATGTAATTAGACCAATAGATAAAATGGGGTCCTGTATTCTAAACACAATCTGCTCACAGAACAGTGTTTCCGGTGTCATTGTTAAATGGGTCATCTTTTCTTACATTCTGTTAATGTAT